CAATAAACAAATTTTAAAACCCCACATTCCAACAAAGACAAGAATAGCTCTGTCGGACAGAACTGGTGAAATTCTGTTGGGACTGAGGTAGAAGATTTGAGTTGCGTACACGGATGTTGCCCATTTCCTATATCTTTAGTATAGGAAATTATATGTTATGCTAGTAACAAAAAGAGCATGTACTCATTAAACTTGTATTTAACACACTGCTCTGACGAAGTCATCATAAAATCAATTCTAACTTTTATTCATGACAGAAACAAAACTTAAAATTTCATTAGCTTTATTAAATACAAAGATAGAAAAACATTTTGAAAGTTATCTTCTCACTGCTTGTCAATGTAGCGTGGGCTGCAGACGACATAGTGGCACATTAACACTAATACAGTGCCTTTCCCCTGGATGGCTGTTCTTTCTTAGGAAAGTTTTGTTGTAATAAACAAAACATCTCAGCACTCCTGGGAGAAAAGCATCTGGCATGATGTTGATACTGCATTTTAAACTTCTAATTCCAAATTAAACATATGATAAAATTGTACCTTCTGCTTGTTTTTCGGAATTCTGACATTCATACCTCATCAGAAACTAACCCCACATTTGTCATATATGTTACAGATTTATACTCAAATCACCTCCATCTCAGTTATTTCTTAGTATTAAATGAAAAGCTAACTTTTGGTATTTTTTCATTATGGCACAGAAATTTGAGTTATTCAATTTCTTTTTTAAAAGCACATAAAGGTCAGGCATTTTTATAAACCGGTGATACAAAAAAAAAAAAAAAAAAAGCATACCATTGTTACACCCTCATACCAGCTGATAAGAGAAGTCATTGAACATCGTATTCTGTTCTGGGAAACCTGCACATAGTCTTCGTCTTCCAGTGAGTCCACATCTATATAGCAGTTCATCAGCTGCCCCATCAGCTTCTGCATCAGATTTTTTATGCCTTCACAACACATTTTTAGACACACAGTAAAGACATTTGGTTATTCGCTAACACTTCTCCAACTCATACTCTAAAAAATTATCCCAAGTTATCACTTAGTATTTTTCACTTTTCAAATTATTTTCCTTCTCTCTCCAGAATGGACATCTCATGGCCCAGAAAGCTTGAAACTATTCATGATATGCATGTTGTTGATGAAATAAAAATTATCCTATTAATTTGCCTAGATAGCAACAATTCAGGTTAAGAAGTTGGCCCTGCACCCTTCCTGAACTCCAGCCACATGCTATTAGCGACCTAAAAATAAATAAGGCAGCCAATCCATACATCTGGGGATGCTGCCATAAGTAATTTTAATCTTTGTTCTTAAAAAATAAAAAAGGAGCAAGGAGAGTGGGACAAAGTTTTATTCTACCCTTTCCCTCACTGTAATAACATGACTGTAAGCATTTAAAAAGCAGAATACACCATCCAATTAAACATGAGAAAAGTCAGCCTACAATATCAACATGCAATACACTAAGCAGCATGCTCTTGACATTTATGCTACAACCAAGTAGTTTTTCAATCTTCATTGTTTTAAACAGAACTGGATACCTCTTAAAATACAGCAGGCATTACTGCTATGTTGACATGGGATTGAGCAAATTTTTAGAAGGTCTTCAAGATCCCTCCATCCCATTACTCTTACATTTGGAGGCAAAAGCAAGAATTTCTAGTTATTGACAGCCTACTCAGATGAAGAAGCAAAGCTATTGCAGTACCTGGGCAATCTTTGGCTTCCAGCAAGGCTACATAAGGAGTAATGTTATTCTGAAGGACTTCTGAGAGACTTCTAAAAGTCAAGTCATGATCTGTAACATTCACACCTAGAAGAAAGACAAATTCTTAAGGGCATTTTCCTGTGACTTGTGACCACAATGATTGAATAATAAACTGAATTGCAGACAAAAAACAGAAGATACCTCAAATATTCAAGGAAGGAATGAAAAGCATTGCATCATTCAGCTGAAACCAGGACAATCATCTATGAGGAAAGATGAAAAACTAGCACAAGCTTAGACATATGTGTTAATACTAGCTGCTTAAAATAGGGAATCACTGCACAGACCCCTCTTATAATTTGGTTTTGTTTTTTTTAAAGAAGGATTTCTCAAGGGTCCAAATCTGCAAGGAGTAGGATTGGTTTTCTATCTTCCCTGCTCCTCATACCCTCAGAAGCCAGTTGTCTAAGGCCTGCAGAGACAAGAAGATGAAATTCGAAATTCACCTTCTCTAGAAGAGCGGTGCATACACCTGAGACCTGAATCCTCACATGCCTTATGTAAGAAGGAAAATTACTATGAGTTAGTATGAATTACAGTCTGAATTTACTGTGAACTACTCAATATCTACTGCCTTTGTTAACATCCTTAGTCAACCACAAAAAGAACAAGCCCCTCCAGAAGGCAAGTCACAGCTTCTTCCACAGAAATATTCAGAGCAGGAACTTCTCACTTGCTACTACTGACAAATGTAGACTACCTTTCAGGCTTTGTTAGTGCTCACATGGTAAATATGAAGCACAAGTCTGATTTTAGGTTCCCTAAAATGATCCACTAAAAATGCAATCAGGTTGGCTTGAACCAGGTGTGGGATTACAGTTACAATCTTCTGAAAGAAAGGAAGGGGGGGAAAAAAAAAGAAAAAAAAGGACTTCAGAACTTCAGCAACTTCGGTTAAGATCTTCAGCTATTTTCTTCACCCGCTGCTCCTTTTACAAGAGAATGACACTGCTTTCATACACGTAAAGATGCACTGCAAGAACATATATCAGAAATACGGAAGCTGTGTAATTCCATGGTTAGCCATAGAAACCACGAAGAACGTTGGTGGCAGAAACAGGGACAGAATCAAAGCATCTCCAGTGCCTCAGGAAAAAAAACCAAATCACTACCAGCTACCCAAGACAGACCTTTAGGGAAGGTGTTACCTTGCCCTATTATGCATACAAAAGGGAAGGAGGTCTTATCCGGCTGCCTTCTCCCAGCCCAATTTCTTCTGTTAACATTTCTGAAGCTGATATTGCTCACAGTAATTGCTGGAAGTCAGCAATGTATTTTTCTTTGACCTCTGTGTCAGTTTTAAGTAGATGTACATAAGAAAATATATCTTTGAAAAATTACCTAAGACAAGAGCTGCAGTGGGGATTTCTCTGGACTTCATCCGACAAGTCCATTCTGTTGTCTTCTCTTGGAACTCAGAGTGAGACCGCCTGAGAAAACTTACTAAGGTGTCAAATAACTGCTTATTCAAGTCTTCCTGTATTTGCTGTAAACAAACACAGAGAAATTTTATTTGTAAAAATGTGGAAACACCAGAATATCTTCCTTTTCCTACCCCTTTCCTTTGTAATTTTCAATCCTTGTAACTCTAGGGTAAAATTTTAAGTAACACTAAGTTTTCCTGTGAACTATAAATATGCTAATTTATTCACTGTGTGGCACACACAGACATTTCCCATTTTGGAACTTCTGGTCAAATGCCTTAACAATAACTTGGAAAGCAAATGAGCTTAACTGTGTTGTCACACCTTTAAAGAAGGCTTTAAAGAAGGAGAAAAACACCCCATACTGACAAAGTATAAGTGACACAGGAGGAATAAAACATTATAATTAGTTTCTGGAAGAATGTTCATGAAAATTCCTATTATTCCCTCTTGGCTTACAGAACACCTGCAAACATTTTTCTGAGAAATCTACATGAGGGCAAACATTCAGCTCCTCCAAACTTAATTCAGGGTGAAAGGAAAAAAAAAAAAAAAGGAAAGTATTAAATATGTTTTAGTTTTATAGGAAAAAATACTAAACCACATGACTGCTACATTTGCTACACTGTCTTTTGCCCTTCAAGATGATTTTCATACACGCATGTATGTATATGCGGGAATATATGGAAAGATGAGAGAAGGCAGGGGGAGATAAAAGTTTTAAAGGCAGATATACAGTGGCAGCATTTTATATTTCTTTTATTATGTATGGGCCTTTGAAGATCTGTCTCTAATCCAAGATATGCCTTCTGCTAGAACAGACAAAAAGAGTACTCTGAAGTTCAGCATATCAATATATACTCTAGAAAATAGATGTTAGAAACAAGATTAAACCCCTGCCCCCAGTAAAATCATCATCAAGATTTATTAGCAACAAGAAGTGACAGACAGCAGTGAACTTGATTTTAAATGAAGTGGCAAAGGCCAGCTCTAGCAGCATTGATGAGGCAGCAATGAAAGGAGTTAAGGTCACAGCTCCAGACTGCACATGGTGCCTGCTCAAAAACCTGAACTCCATTTCCATTATACAGAAGAGTTCCTATTGCTCTCCTGAACAACTGATAAAACTGCATACCAAGTAATCTTACTGTTTTCACCCTCTACTTATTCAAAAATATTCTTCTGGCCTTTCTGATGTTGACTGTGCACTTCTGAGCTCCCATCTGATAAATTCTATGGCAACTCGGAAGAAACTGTAACATGGCATTTTAAAAAGAAGAGTTTATGCCATCAGCTTTATAACAGCATCATAACAGCTCCTGTATTACCATACATCCCATAACAATCCTCTGAACTTCTGCTTCAAAATCCCATCAGACCTTGAGGTGCTTCTGATCATTGTTGTACATGTTTTCACTAAGCTGCCCTAACAAGAACCTGAATCCTTACTTTGCATGGTTACGGTATATACTATTTCTTCCAATGCGCACTTGTGAAGATGGAATTTAGTCTGCTATAGCATTACACATTTACTTAGCTTTCTTAAAATCCATCAATCTTTTCTTGTCAAAATAACCTTGTTACTGGCACTATTTTGGAAGTGTTCCAGAGAGTATACTAGGCTGCTCTGCATCTCAAGTGACCAACTCGTTTACTTGCATGACGCTGCTCACTCCGGAAAAGTCATATGAACTGGAAGTTTGACCTCTGCTATCATACTAGGTTTGGCCATGATTAGCTGTTGTGTCGTCTGAAAACCACTATCTGCACATTAGAGCTAGAATTACCGTATTACAGCCCTGCACTGAGGCTTTTTTTTTTTTCTAACTGGGATGATGGTAGTGCAATTGGAATTCCTCCCCTTACAGGAACAGAGTGTTTCAGAAAGCCCTTGATGAGATGTATCATAATAAGAACATTTGCAAGGCCACTGCTCACAGCTGGGGTCAAAACTGGGATACTTTGCAACATTGAAACAAAAAAAGTTACAAAATTCACCTTCCAAAAAGGAAGGACAGTTCTGCAGTACTTTTGCCAGCTTTTCATGATGTGAGAAGCCTGAAAGGATGTCATCACCAGACGACAGATGGTGCTGCCACAATCACAGCACAGTTTATGATGGACATACAGAGGCCAAGAGTGCTTCGCAACAAAGTACTTGGAGGTCAAATCCTCTTCACTCTTCAACACCTCAAGTAGCTACCAGAGAACTGTGAAAACACCAGCACAAGCACATGGCCTGCCAACAAATCGTCAGGTAGCACCACCCTGGCAAAAACTTCGGAGAACATCCTGCTAGGCTCCCTTAGCAGAGTAACATAACCCCTAGAATAAAAGTCCAAACCAGTAAACCACGCATTTCCCAGGTATTCTGCCATGGATCAGGTTTACTATGCCAGGGATTGAAAGTATATAAAAAATAAAATCCTGACTAGATAGAGCCCGCACCTACCTGGTCTGACCTCATAGATGATGCTGCTTTGAGCAGGAGTTTGGACTAGGGACTTTCTAAGGTCTCTTCCAACCTGAATTATCACTCAATTGTATATGTAAGAACAATTATCACCTCCAAGTTTGCCAACAGTGTGATAAAAGGATGGTAATTCAAAACTCAGTAGAAAAAACATCAGAGACAGCTCAGAAGCTGGATAAAGAAAATTCTATGTATAGCAGCAAAAGTAACTACAGGCAATTCTGCCCTTGGGCAAATCAAACTCTAAGGCAAGGCCCATAACAATTTGTCAATGTAGCATGAACAGTCTTCCATCATGAGGATGAAGAATGGAAGAAAGTATTTGGCAAACTCCTAGCAGCCTCAAAGAAAACAAAGGTAGGAGATTTAGAACAGGAAAGAAGGAGGATTTTGCAGATGGCAATGGCTCTGTGCTTCTGAGCAGTTAAGGGAGGCTTTTGCTATGATGAGCTGTGTCTGCTGCTCTGGGAGAAATCCTTGCAGAGCACTAGGGGAAAAAAAAAACCAAAAAAAACCCAAACCCTACACTTCTTCAACCTGAAAAGCCTACAGCCACTGTTGGCAATGTAGAAGCATTGTCTCAAAAGCCTTGACAACTCTGTGCCAAAGACAGAAGATCCAAGAAAAGGTCTTCCAGAAGTAGCTACAGAATGTCATCTTCCCTATAGTCCACTGTGTAGCTGACAAGGCATTTCCTTGTGCAGCTGCCAACATTACTGGCAATGCTGGTAGCTAACCCGCCAAGCTGAAGCAGTTGGCAGGAAGATACCAAATATACATCCACAAACTACTGTGTGTTCTCTATAATCAGCACGGCAATGTAGTGCACTGCTTTGCTCAACCTGGCTAGTTACAGTTTGAGAAGGGTGCTGACTAGTCAAAGGGAGCTGGATCATGGAATAGTAGAAACAGAATTAGAGGAATTTATGAGTTTAACCCAAGGGTCCAGAATGTAAGCTACATCCAGCTGGCTTCTACTGTACATCCCAAAACAAACTTTGAAAAAAAAAAAATCTCATTATGTCAAGAGTCCAACAGCAGGCAGAGGAACATGGAATACTTGCCCAGAATCCTTGACATTGAATAGAGGAGGAAATCCCCGCTGTACGGAAGCAATTATTCATACTACAATAGAGGCCAGCTGGCTATAGGGACACAACAACAGCATGCCATCTAACACACAACAATTAGGAGGCCACAGTTCAGTAGAAATTAACTCTGATCCCCACCAGACAACCCCATTGACACTGTCCATACTAATTCAATAGCTGTGTCATTCAGTATTTGACATCCATGTAGTTTTATTTGTATAAATCCACTGTGAACCCTGGGCTGGTATGAACTCTGTAACACTGAGGTCAAGAGCAGCCTAAAAATCCTCAGAGGGCTGGCAAGCACGTAACTGAACTGAACACAGAAAACAGCAGCATGCCAGGAATTAATAAAAAGCACAATTAGTAAGAAGAGAAGCTTAGAAGCAGCAGCTTGAAGCATCAAAAGCATGTAGTTTTGTGGTTAGAAGTAATGTGTAAATGATGGATTTGTTATTACTACTTTATATTCTGGACAGGGATTTCAGTGTCAGTCAGTATTTCTGGCCCTTTTAAGTGTATAAAAAAAGAAGATCTCCAGAAACAAGTAAGCAACCAGTGTTGTTACAATTGAAAATACTGCTTTAGTATTAGGTGCAAGACTCACCTCTGTTTCTGATTTGATCTGATTCCATAAAGACTGACAAGTAACAAATCGCAACTCAGTATCCTCTGAATTGTTTCCATCTCTTTGTCTGAAAACATTAGCTAGAAAGACAGAAAGCAAAGGCAAGCACAAGTAAGATTATTAAAACAAATCATTTTTTGTTGAGAAGAAAACAAAACACCCTACTGAAACAAGAACATCTTTATACATAAATATATCCGAGGGAGATGACTTTTCTCTTAACCAATTATTTAACTGGTGGTATCTGGTAGAATAAGTGAGGGAACAAGCAGAATCTATTACCCAAGTATGCAGACAAAAGGCAAAGAACCAGCTTCCATCTCAGTTCCCAGATGAGCTAAAGGCTAAATTAGAGCAAACAAATAAAATTTTTCAAAAATCCTTCCCTTGCTTCAGAAAGTTTTGTGGGTCTCTTTCACCTGTTAAATATTCATCCTCCTTCACTGTTAGTGAGATATGAAACCTAAAGGCTTGCAAGAATAGATACATGCCAATCCTTTCTGTTCTCCAGGGAAGATGCAGCTAACACCAATTTCCTGAAAATAATAAGGTATACTGGGAAAGAACTGTCAGGTTACATGGAATAGATTGATTTATTTTTTTTAAAGTATATTCAATGAACAATCATGCCAGCAAAACTTTTAAGCACAAACTGGGCCTATATTTCTGGCTCACCTCTAAATTGCCTCTCACTTCTATACATGTTCTTTATGAAAAAGAAAAGGAGAATCAGATCCTTTTTGGTGCAACAGTATCTTGGCACATTTTCCAAATACATCTGGCTTCCCAGGTGCTGCTCTGCCTCACAGATGTGAGTACAGAAACTCTCTACCAGATTCCAACTAAGAAGGAAAAACGGAGCTGGGAGTAACATGGGAGACTGAACAGAAACTAGTATAACTGAGATTTTTCTTGTTTTTCCTCACACATTCACACAGTCTATATTTCCCTTAAAATAAAAAAAAATAAAAAAAAAAAAAAAAAAGCACAGGCTTGGAACCATCCTTCTACTCCCAGAATACATTCAGTGGACCTGGTGTAGTTTTAATGCTTTACTAACACCACCTGGAAGAATACAAAGACTGAAGGTTAAAGAAACAGCCTGTTAACTGTTGCTATAAGGTGACTTTAAACAACGATTTTTTCTAAACATATGCATATAAAAAATTTAATTTGCTATCCATTAATGTCCATTCAGTGGCCATTGAATGGCGCATCAGCAGTGGTCTGATCTCTAGAAAAGGACCAGCTGATGAGCACATTCAATCTCCCAAAGCATTCAAAACAGCTCTGTAAATGACGAACAAGAGGCATCCCTCATCCCCTATTTTCATCGTCTCCCCTAAACTAACACCTCATTTGTATCCCTAAGGAAAATGACTTAAAATACATAACCTACTCTGATTACACAGGTCTTGGGCTTTTAGTTACAGAAAATTCAGCCACCACATTATTGGCAATATACCAAGGCATAATATTCTTTTGATACTAGCAAAACTCAAAACTCTAGGTGCAAATGTGCCTTTTGGGGTGTGCAACAGTATTATCAACTACCGATGCTGTGACATTTCGCAACTGAAACTTCACACTTGACAGGTTTGGCCTTTCACGCTTGGCAGATGCACATCAAAGTACTGTTTATTTAAAACACCATTCTAACCAACTTGCTGTGAGCAGCCAAACTAGCTCATCTCTGCCTCTCTTTTAGGGGTAGTTCAGTCAAATTTATTTTTTCTGTCTCAAAGCATTTGCTAACTAGAACAACATGTTTAGTAGGATTTATCCAAGCATTACTAATCTTGCAAAAACAAAAATATAATATCCAGTAAGGGGTAAAATTTCAACATGGTTTAAGTGCATGTATCTTGGATGTTGGTTATTTACCTTGCAATGACTTGGAATGACAGACGGGATTCTATCTTCCTGCCTCTCATTCCCTGAGCTACAGATGTGCCAACTCTCATGGGAAAAATAATTTGGGATTAATTTTAAAAGCAGGTGTTACAGTAAGTCCCTCTGGTGATTCCCACAAAAATCTGGCCTTATTACTTTCCCCTCCACTTTTTTTATACAAATTGTCACACCTTTTGACAGCTCTGGTGCTGCCCAAAAAAATTTAATCTGGGAATAAGAACAGTAAGTTTCCTAACTGGATCTCAGACAGCAACTATTTAAGCAGCATTATTTGTGGCTCCAGTAAAAGTCAGTCCTGTTCAGTCTTCATCAAATGACAAGGGACCTGTACACACAGTATATAGAATGGAGAAAAGAAAATATGCATAACAGACACTAGTGGACAGAAGACATGGAATCTTCAGAAATGCCTTTTATTTCTTCTTTTCCTCAAGAAACTCAAGCAAACTACCGAGACTATGATGAGACTTATGAACAGGATATGATTTCTGACACCCATATCTTAAAAGTGCCTCATTCAGACTCTTCAGATAAATAGTTTGTCAGTCAGTGAACAATTTATGGTAGCATGGAAAGGAGTTTTCTTGTTAAAAAAATGTGCAGAGACAAAGATAGCTATATGAACTTGATTGCTGGAGATGAAAAAAACCCCACATTTACACTAGCCAACAGTTTGCAGGGATTCCTCCGAAGAAATCACTTTTCAGCAATATCAACACCAAAGAGCAACAGAAACCCTCATGAAGCTATGACAGAACTCAATCAGATGTGGTGAACCTTCCAGGATTAACCCTTCTCAAGCATAGAAACATACAACAAAATACACTAACCTGTTTTATGAGAGACCCTTCTCTTCTTGGGACTTGGTTTAAAAACAAAGCAGCCCTACAGAATAGTAAAAAAAACATAAACTTCAATAAAAGCATAAATCTGACTCAATCCTGAAGCCACTTTATTCTCCTTCAATTTCAGTGCTGCATTAAACCAACAATTTGAACTTAAATGCCACCATCCGAAGGATATCAGTTTGCATGTTGTCCCTTTGTATTCCTGTTTCAAGCTGGAAAACTAGTAGAAGCAGTATCCCACCATATCTGGGAGGAACTTCTTCATTTTTCTGTTATGTTCTTCAATTCAACCATCAACTAGAACAGCAGCAGATTCTTCAAACATCTCATAACCTCCAAAAGGTTTAGAATTAAGAGGAAAAGATTCCCTGGGGACACATCAGTGGAGTTTTCTCAGTACAGTTTCAGTTCAAAACAAAACAAAAAAAGAAGCAAGAGGCTGGGATGCATAGAAAAGGTGATCCAGAATAATGCAATGAGTATTACTAAGTAATTTACAAAAGCCAGTGACACGCCCTATCTACAGAGGACAAATGCAGCCCGACTTGGAAAAGTAAAGATGGTTAGAAGCAGAATGATAAATGGTTTGGAAAAGGTTCAGATAAATAAAAACCCTGGTTCCAAAAAAGTCCTCCAGACAGAAGTCATCTCCCAGTTAGATCCATTTCATCACAAGGGAAGAGGAAATAAAGCACAAGTATTAAGCTTTGAATTCTGGAAGATTTTTTTTTTTCATTTTCTTTTAGAAAATCTGAAATTTCTTCCCCTATCCTTTCAAATTAAAAAATCAGAGTTATAATAATTTCCTATATATCAGAAATCATCTGCATTCCCCAGCTCTCATTGTGAGGTTCTTGTGCTACAGCAAAGGGGAAGGAAACAAGTGTTCAAGATCAATAGACTGATTCAATCCTGTATTTCTCAATGAAGGTGCTTACGCAAGCAAAGATTACTGAATTCAACCTAGGATAGTTCATCCACTAGCATAGGAATGATCTAGTGAAAACAAAACTCCAGAGGTATGTTCAATTTTGATCACAGGCACTAGTCTGTTGGGTGACTGTGGACATGTTATTTCCCTTCCGACACAAGTAAGAAATTGCACTAAAACACTGATAACAATATTGGCCTCCTCTGACAGACAGCCTTATGGACTGCAGGTGCCTTCAGATACTTTTTGTTTTACCACGTATACTAACAACCATCTAAAGCCAGCTGGACAAGAGTTGTGCCACTTCTAAACACTCTGTAACAATTCTACTACAAAAAAACTACACTACAGTCTTATTTACGCTGCAGTATGCACAATGTGTCAGAACAGTAATTCACAAAAGCACAACTGGAATTGGCCAAAATAACTATAAATCATATGTAGAAAGGAAAAACAATGTATGCTTAATCAAATCAAACACAAATGCTATTTCATGCTTTACAAGCATTGAATT